CATTTTTCAGAGCGAAAATTAATATAAGACACTGTCTTATTTTCGGGGAAACACGGTATATACTGTGTATGTAGAATGACAACGTTCTTAAACTAGCGGTTTTTAAGCAAAAACTTGATCAAAATTATTTCCAAATTAGGTTGACCGCTAGCGCTTGAAACGTTTTGTAAGTGAAATAAGTGCAAATATTGTTTAGAGCAAAGATTTTTATCCTGGATTCAGGGTCCCGTCTTATTATGTTTACACGATAAACGTTAACCTTGATTTAAAAAAAAACCTTTAAATTCAATCAACTTTTCTTATTTGAACAGAAACAGATTAGTTAATCTCCGCCAATAGTATAACAACAATAAATTATTTCATTATTAATAATTAAACCCTTTCTGCGAATTTAAGTGGATTAATGACATGCTATCATAGCATTAGCCATCTGCTGGAAATAACAACTGGAAAAATGACGTCATTTTTAACCTAATCAAGATGCATTCTATATGAACGTCGTTTTAGCCTACATCTTCGTCATTCCTGTTTAAATTAATCATGTTAAATCTTACTCCAATTAACTTTCTTCGTGAAAATGCAGTCAGTATTAAACTTAGTTCACACTGACGAGTTTCGTCATTGGTGACGTTGCTTCCTGCAAATATTTCTTTTCTGCGAATCGACAGACATACAAACGTATTGAATTTTTTGCTAGAGTAAAATATTCGCCACAAATCAGAACGGCAGATTTGTTAACGTAGGCCTAGAGGGAAAATCCAAAATGGCAGCAACGAAGATAGCACGTACGACCTACGATGTGGTACAATTTTTGACTAAAATAAGTAATGCTCCATTTTTGTTTTCCTTTCTTTTTAATAAATAAATGCAAGATACTAGCATTAGGCCCTATCACCAACTAGCTGTTATCAGATATCTTGTTGTAATGACGTTTATGTTCGTTCGCAACTGGCTGGCTAAGCTTTTCGCTGTTCTCATCCCGCGGAACACTAATGAGAATCGAATTAGTTGTTTTGAATTCCGCTTTCGCTAGGCGAATGCTTGAGTAAACTAACCATTAGAGTTCCGCAGATAATTTCAAGAGTTCGTGACTTTAATTTCTAACTGTATTGCATTTCCTTCAATTAATTTATGAATGAAGGAACAAAACTAATGATGCAACGAATAGTATATTCAGCCTCAGGCCGAATAGCCGAATATTCGGCCAAACTGTTCGGCTTGATTAACGCACGTACGAAAATTGGCGCGCAAATGGCATTATGGCAAAGATCGCTCTCTATTAGTCCGCTGCCACTACGCTTCGCCAATCGCGTTAATTCTTGACAGCTGTAGCAGACAGACATGAGCGTCATGGCAGTATGTGATAAGTGATGATATCAAATGTGGATAACAATGAAATGATCTACACGTGTAAATAACGGAAAAAGACCAAAGAAGGACCGCGAAGTGAAAATTAAAAAATAAATATGAAATTGAGTTGATAACAATCGAACAAGTCGAGGCAGCTTATTGGCGCGAAATTCGCGGCCGTCAATGCCAAATAATTGTTCTCATAGACTTTGGAAAGCTAAATTAGAGTGCACGGGCGAAAGCCAGGGGCTGTTCAGGCTACTAAGCTGTCTGGAATCTGTGAAATCATAACTGTGACTTATACCGACGACTTATCTGTCTCTTTTCTCCGTTATCACCAGGCTATGAGTCACGTAATTCGCGTTTTTCATGAACTATAGAGGGCACTGCATTTTTACAAAATGGCTACTTTATCTAGGTCACTTATAACTAATGTAAAATTAATTACATATTACTGTCCGTTATAATGATATATGCTACTTGTAGCTGTTTATCGAGAAAGTTTATAGAAAGAGAACAATTATTGCTAGCAGGACACGTCATTATGTGGTAATGAAACAAATGAGCGAGATTGTTCTATACACATTTGTGCCTTTGTGTTAAAAAAACATCAGCTTTGACATCTGTCCCATTAGGGCCGGATTTACAAGTATGTAAGCTGTTGCTTAGGGCCTCGGCTTTCAAGAGGCCTCAAACATTTCTAAAAAAAAAATTAAAGTCAAATTTTGTAATAAAATTTTTTACAAACCAACAAAATATACTTTACTTTTTATTTTGTATAATATTTCGTTAATTTTTTTGAAAAGAATTAACATAGTGTTTTTTTTTAAATTGATAAAACCAATAATGAAACGGATATAAAAATTTAATTAAATTCAGTTATAAAACATAAGACTAGTGAAAACCTCACATCTTTTTCTTCCAATATATGTATTAAATCAGACATAGTCTAATTTAATTTTTTTTATGATTGACTTCTAAAATTGTGAAGAATTAGTACGGAACCTTACAGAGTTTAACTTAGAGCCTGGAAATGCTTAAATCCGGCCCTGTGATCCACACAAATTTACTGGCATTTTAAACTTTAAGTCCACTCTTTCAGAAGTTCATAAATATAACCGACCGATTTCTGAATAATTGTGTTTTTCATGCGGGAATAGACGAAAACTTGTGTTGGGCTCCCGTATGGCTTTAAAATTGTAATTTGGAACGCAACAGACAGCTTTGCTTTTTCTATTGCTATTCATCTTTACTGCTGATAATACACAAGAATGATTCAAACGACCCAGATAAAATAGTATTGTTTTTAAACACTAGAGGGCGAGAATCCGGTGAGAAATGCGAATTGTAAAATGGGAAATCTACGACGGAAAAGTGACGAATCGAAAGTATCGTGCGCGCACATTATGATGCATGCATAGGCATACGTTCTTTTATATACGAGTATATAGATGATTAAACTACATAATAAGTAGGTAGTTTTCATTTGATTTGTTACCTTTTTTGATCTCTTAAAAAATAACTTAATTATATTACTTTTCCTTTGATCTTTTACATAAATAAGCAAAAAAATTGCGTTTTCTTAAACTTGAAATGTATGTTCAGTTAATAAATCGTTAATAAAAGTTACCAAAATGATTAATTTACTGTGTTTTTGTTATTTCTTACTCCTGTTTTAAGTAACCGAATATTCGTTGCATCATTAAACAAAACATAACAGTATTACTATTCTTTTAACCGTAAACGGTTTTATAATTGTTCAAATAAAAGCGTGATTAAACTATGGGATCTGATTTAGATTTAATTATGCCAATTCGGGGAACTTAGCCTCAAGTTATACATATAGCACTATAAATATGTCGGGAAAACGACATGGTACAAATTCGACGAGGTAATCACTTACTGAACTCATTTGTACTGACACTCTCATCACGTTCGTGTTAATATAAACACAATTCGAGATTATCTGTTTGTTTTGTTAAGCAATTGGCAACGCAACACTTGGGCGATCTGCCTAGGGGAATGCCTTCCGGGAAGCCTTTTTGGTTAAATGGCCCTTACAGATATGGAGAAAATCACGTCCTGGCGCGCGCGAACCACGACCGAACTCCCAGTGTTCAGGGAACACAACCGCTTGGCCACTGGTAGGCCCAATTCGAGATTGAATCCCGTGGTACTACACTGTGCATCATCAGCAACACCAACCTTCACTCCAAACTGAAATATTAATAGTCAATCTTTACCTGCGTGCACCGTTATGGCGGGGGTAGCGACTGTTCATTTCGGTTAGGTTAGGTTACATTAACTATATTTTTAGTGGACGTTTCCTTTTTTTTTTTCTTTCTTTTGTTCAGGAATTACCATGAATCAATAACTAGTGACGTTAGGTACTCGGTGGCCTGCCGGCGGCTCCCCTCCGGGAGGAGTCCGTCGGGACCGCGGCCATGACGGTGCACGCAGGTAACCATATTAATTGAAAGAAAAACACAGCGGGTTTATTCCAGAATATTCCTATCGACCTCTCTCAACAACTAACTCGTGTAATTTTACCGCAAATAAGATTTTTTCAGGTGTTAATATATTAATAACAAACATTTCAAAAATTAATAAAATACAAAAAGTTACCTCCAATCATCATTAATTAATCTACTGCGAAAAGAAAATTTATAACGGAAATTTCTAAAACTTCGTTCTGCGCATGTATTTTCCGTTATGTTTGAATATGATCGGTTTAATCACGATACGCCAATCATATTCAAACATAACAAAAAATACATGCGCAGAACGAATTTTTAGAAATTCCGTTATATATTTAAATTTTACAGAAAACTGATATGCAGAAATGTTTCTGTATATGATGGGTTCAACTGAGGCCATCGTTAATCAAGGCCTGCTTATAAGTTTTAAGACATCACAGTACTGGTCATTTCCTTAGCCGATCATCAAAGCGTTGATGATCATTTATGTTAAATCGAATATTTTTTATCAAAATAACTATTTTTAAAATTAATTTATCGATGTAATATTTAAATGCTATAAATGTATTAATTTAAATAATTTTTAAGTAAAAAAATTTCATAAATAAAGAACAACACTGCATGATTAACTTTTAAATTTATTATATGATCTTTTTAAACAAATAAATACAATGATACCCCGAACTTACGCGATAGGTGGGACCGAGCGATAACCGCGTAAGTCGGGGTATAATTTCGCAATTTGTGTAAAACCCAAGTCGGATGTATGTAAGTTAATAAATGTTCTCGTTAATCTTATCTCGTCTTTTGATTCGTTCATGGTTACAAGAAATCACCACATAGAGTCTCTCAAGTCTCCGTAGATATAACAAACACAGAAATAAATAACACAAAATAAATTGTGGCTATGTGTCGATTCCGCGCGACACGTCCGAACGTGTAAGCTGAACAATAGTGTGTGGGGATTGAGTAATCGAGAGTTGCTTGGCGCTCAAACAAAAGACGAATCGACGAGATTTGAAAATCGCGTAACTCCGGGTTCGCGTAAGTCGAGGTATTACTGTATATCAAAAGTCTTACAATTATTAATTTTTATCTTACAAAGAATAGTAATTCATTTTAAAAATCTATATTGTTACATATTACTTCTGTAAATGTATTTAGAAAAACTTGTATATAAAATAAAACTGAAATCTAACTTATTCTCATAATAGTAATATTTATATATTAAGTGGGAGTGGAAATGTGTAGGTAAAGTATTTAAGATAATTAATTTACAGATTTATTGTAAGTTTGTAATTTCCTTTTTCTTCCAGGCATATCTTTCAAAGCCAATATTCTTGCATGACAATAATTATTTTAAAAATATTTGAAATTATATTTAAAAAATTTTTCAAAAGAAAATATGGCATTGTTCCACAGATACATGGAACACTGACAGATACTAAATCAATTAGTTCAATTCTTTCAAATGAAAGTTTACTAAATAATTATTTTTGTTTTTTGCACTGTAGAAATTGATCTTCATACTTAGCTTGTAATAAACATTGAAAAAGCTTATATAATTCAACAGTTAAAGAGAGAAATAAATCAGATGGATATGAAAAACCTCCTCTATCAATTTCCTTAATATAACTTATAAGTTCAGGGTGTAAAATGTCAAATTCTCATTTTTTATCTAAAGAGGATATTACTGATTTACACTTTTCACATGAAATCTTCTGTAATAATTTATGAACTGCATAACCAGCAATAAAAACTAAAATTTTAATGGTAGCCAAAGGAACTGTTATCATTTCACATTCAATAGGATCATCATCAAAACATTCGAAACAAATATCCATCTGTGATTTAAAGGAATCTTGCATACAATTTTCTACTTGAGCTGACACCAAATCTTTAATATAGAAATTCCTTATTCTCTCAGATTTCAATTTCAGTAAACTTAAAATTTTTAATTTTTTTTCACATTCTAAAACCTGCACAACACTAACATGATAATTATCACCACACATTTGGCAATATTGTCCAAATCTAACTTCAAGATTATCTGTTTGGAACTTTCCCAAAAGTACAAACTTCAATGAAAATTTTTCAAACAAATATTCAATAAGATGAATCATAGCATAAGTTGTATGTTTTAAAGCAAAATGTGTTTCATCTGACAATCTTCCATGCTGTTGTTTCAAATTAAATTTCTCCCATGCATCCAAAAATTCTATAAAACAATTCAAAAGTTTAATTTGCTCATCATTTTTAGTATACATTGGTCTGCAGTAAAGATCTCAAACGTTTCCCCCTTTCTGGATGTTTTACATTCATTACATTCCACCATGTTGCAATTATTTCAATAAAATGTTTTGTGCAAATTCCTGTAGAGCTGCAGCTACTTTTTTTATTGAAAAGTTTCACTGCATATGAAACATTTTACCTTTCCAATGATGAAGAATATAAAACCTTTACAGACAAAGATGGTGCAAACTTCACAATTTTGCCTTCTTCTCCTCTTAATGTCTCTTTTAGACGAAACAAACTAGCAACACATTTTGTTTCCTTTTGTAAGTCGGGATAAAAATATGTCTGGTTAGTATGGTGTTGATTCAGCCAATTATTTTGAATTGATTTTAATAAGTGCACAGAATCAAATAGTAGGAAAATCAATTCCTCTGATAATGGATTCTTCACAGATACTTTTAATTCACACCACAAAAAAGAGTAAACATTTTACAATTTATTCTGTTGTCATCAGCAATCATGGAAACAACTTGATAACCAATGCTCGCTACAACTTTCAACACTTGTTTTGTTAATTCCAACAACTGCTCAGCTTTAAGACTGCAAACTGGATATAATGCAATATCTTTTTCTTTAGAAAATAATGATGCCACTAGAAATGCCAAAACACTTTTAACTTCTGGCATTTTTTCATTTACTGCTAATCCATAAATTCTACCACCTTTGTATAATGACTTGGTTTTTACATGTACATATTTCATCTAATTGTAGTATAACTATTTTATCTTTTGAATTAAGGCATTGAACTTTTTCTTTAAGATATGTAATATGTTCAGTATTTGGATCAATATCATTAGTAATGCAACTAGTAAAACTCCTCAAATAGGATGTATGTGGTAATGTCAAAACATTACTATTTCTGATGAGCCGATATGCAGTTGGAGAATGAAAAAATAACATGGAAGCCCATATTAAAGTCTCAGAACTGTATCTTGGTTGTTTCGAACTAAATACATTTATCTGTTCACAGAGAAATGAGAGTTTTGTATTTGAAAATTCAAAAGGATCCTCACTCTCAGTGCTTAAACATTCTAAGATTTTTGTACAGCTTGTATACTTGTTATATACTTGTAAATGACTCAATAATGCCTCAAATTTAGTCCATCAATCACACTTTTTTTCTGATCCTAACAGCCATTTAAAGTTTTTGTTATCTAATTGGGTTCCATTAAAATATATGCATATATCAAAATTTTGAAACAATTTAATAGCATGGGTTACTTGTGGAATATCCAACATTGTAATTTTATATAATAAAACATATTCTGTACCAAATAAATACAACCAAGAATTTGCAACATGATTGGAAATACCATCTTTCAAATCTGCAAATGATTTAATATCTTTCTGGCACCATTCACAAAACTGTTGATTATCACGTTCAAATAATTATTTTCTTCTGTCATCACCCAGTTTTTCTTTTGGCAGGAGGCTTATGTGAAACGTAAGCTGGATAATTTAGAAATATAAAAGGATAGGCATCTTTAGTTAGTTTTGGTCTTAATCTAGGAACTATTAACCATGATTCATCATCTCTTTATACTTTATCTTCTTTGATGATAAATTTGTCATCAAAATGTTTAATACATACAACACTGTTTTTAGAAGGAGAAAAGTCATTACATGGTATAGCTTTAATCCACTTACTAATCATTTCTGGACTTTTGGGGAAAGAGAAAACTGTTGTGTACTCTGTAGATGAGTAATTGCTTTTACAGCCTATCACACAGCATCTTTGAGGCATCTATTAAGTAAATACATATATGTAAATTGTTTTTAGTTATAATGTAAATTAATTGGTAACATATTCTTACACGTATCTACTACAGACAATCCAATATATTATGAACTTTTGGTATATACGTTTTTTCCCAATTTTATCCTAATTAAACTAGTTTATTTATTTTGCAAAGAATTAATACAAACATCACCGTGAAATTCCAGCAATTTTAAATTTGGTTGAAAACATAGTTACATTATAATTAAAATCTGACAAGAATCCAAGCAAAGATATTCTAAAATTAAACTAGTTTATTTATTATGCAAAGAATTAATACAAACATCACCGTGAAATTCCAGCAATTTTAAATTTGGTTGAAAACATAGTTACATTATACTTTAATGATCATCATTTAGAATAAAGAAATAAAAAAGATTTAAAAAATAGAACATTTANATAAAAAAAAAATATGTTATCTTTGATAAACTATATGAATATTTAAATAATATCCAATTTGATAAACTTATAAAATGAACCAGAAAGACAAACTTCAATATATCCAATATCACGTTGTCCAGTAAACTGTAAATACCAGTAGTCCGACGTCACGATTATTTAACGGGGTTTACAAGGAGCGCCGTAACTAGCCTTTTATGCGCCCGGTGCAAGCTTTTGTAACTAAGCTCCAAAACTTGGTCTAGGTCATTTCTGCTCCCTGTGCCTGTGCACCCCAGGCACCGCTCTAGTTACGGCACTGGTTACAAGCAGGCTTTTATAAACGATGGCCTCGGCTCAACGGTAAATTTATATATCAAACAATAAATTAGTTCTATTATGTACTGTACATGTACGTATGTGTGTATGTATATACAGTATCGATGTACTGTATATTAATTAACACACGCAAACAAATATTTTACAAATATATAAATAAATTATTTTAACAAAATTTTATACTTTTATTTTATAATTTCTCAATTTTATTAAATGAAACGAGTTGTTATTTTAAAAATATTGATAAACTTAATGTAGAAAATCAGGATAGAAAATATTTTAAAGTTTTAAGTAACATTACATATTAAAATTCTACCGTATCGTGAATTTTGCAGAGTCACATCGACTATTCATCGCCACGCACAATGATTAAAAGCGTCACACTCATTTCAAAATAATATTGATATTATTTCGAAATGAATACTGTATTTTTATGGTGAAGTAAACGCTCTTTAAAACGATCTAAACTTTTCTTAAATAGTAACCCACGGTTCTTCTGAAAAATAGATCATTAATAATAATGTTCTGTAAAAGAAGATTCGTTATTCTATGATTCCAGTATAATCACCTACAGAATCGATTGTTTTTACTTTAAATCTTCGACAATTATTATGACTACTTATACATGTATATACGATGTGTGTTTCCGTGTGTGTACACACATTTATTCGGCGGGGGATTCAGAAGAATCCAAAGAGAGTTATAATTATTCAAATATTTTAAATTTTTGAGTTAAGTACCTTTTATTAATTAACGATTGTATTGAGAATGGTTCGATAAACTCATACTTGTCATTATAAATTTTCTTAAATACAGCGTTTTGAGCGTCAAAAAATTGAAAAAAATTTAAATTTTGTCAATGGGAAGGACTTAAGTCCTGTAGCCTTCGTGGACTCTGCTCCTGCATTTATTTATTTATTTATATTATTATGTGTAAATTGCATCCTGCTCGATTAATACTGGTGCCCAGTGTCATGCTAGATCAAAGTCAAGGCACAGCTAAAGCACAGGCTGTTATATTGTTTATGTGCTGTTTATGTATGTGTTTGTGTTTAAGAATTTCCTCACTATAATGTGCTTAGTCTTAAAGCTTTTTGTATTGTGATGTATGTGCTTTCCTTAATATTTCTAGACTTGTGTGTATTGTGTAGAGCAGTGTTCCGCAACCGGTGTGCCGTCACAAGGTGAAAGATGTGACGTGAACTTTTACATATTCTATTAATTTCAAGTTTTATTTATATATTTTTATCGCAGTTGTTGTGTTTTTTATGCTTGTATTTCATTCACTGATGAAATAAGATGATGTTAAAGCAATAAACACATATGTCGTCCCAGTACTCACTTATTCTTTTGGAGTTATACATTAAACTCACACAGATCTTGAGCAACTCCAAATGAAAACAAGAACAACACTTACTAAGCATAAACAACGTCATCCTAAATTTGCCATAGAAAGATTAACCCTTCCACGTAAAGATGGCGGACATGGCCTGATTCACATAGTAAACCTTCGCTACAAACAAATACAGACACTGCGAGAGTTTTTCTACAAAAAACAAGAAACACAACAGTTACATGAAGCAATAACTCCAGCAGACTCAAATAAAATCACCATTAAACTTACATTTGCATCATATGGACAAGACAGAACAAATAAAAAGCATAGACACCATCAAGCAATCGTGGGTTAAAAAGGCACTCTATGGCAGACATCCCTATGACCTAGCCCAGGATTTTGTTACAAAACTGCGTCAAATAGCTGGTTAGCTCGGGGATGCCTTTTTGGGGAGACAGAAGGGTTTATGATTGCCATACAGGATCAGGTGATAAATACTAAAAACTACATAAAAAACATACTCAAAGATACAACACTCAAAAATGACTCATGCCAGAAACTATGCAGCACATCACTTCTGGTTGCAAGCTCTTGGCACAGACAGATTATTTACATAAACATAATCAAGTAGCAAATATCAATACACCAAAAGCTTGCAAAGAAACACAAATTATTAGACATCAATAACCATACTACAAATACGTTCAACAGACAGTATTGGAAAACAACACGCACAAACTGTACTACGACAGTCACAATCACAGATAAAACAATTTACCACAACAGACCAGACATCACACTCATTGCCAAACACAATAAAATCACATACATTATAGACATATCCGTTCCAAACACTCACAATGTACTACAAAACACATGCAGTGAAAAAATCAGCAAATACTGTACACAGAACTCGCCAAGGAAATAAGGCATCTGTGGAGGATGGATAGGGTGCTTATTGTAGCCTACTTGTCGTTCTCTTCTCTACAGGTGTCATACCACAAACGCTACACAAAAGCCTGGGAACATCAAAATTGAATAGAAACACATACATCGCACTACAGAACGCCTCTATATTGAATACATGTCATATTGTTAGGAAATTCCTGAATACAGACACACACTGAAACGCTTATTTAATTTTTTTTCTTGTTTTGAAGTTACTATGCCTTGACTCTAGTCCGGCATAGTACACAGCCATCGGTGTCAACCTAGTGTAACTCACAAAACTCAACATAATAATAATAGATTTATGGCATTACGAAATTCTATGAATAGTATCATATCATACGTTTTTGAG